TAACACATATTCATCGAAGTAATCTAGTTCAACAATGACAGTTACATCGAATTCTCATTTTGTAAAATCCATTTCCCCCTGTAATTTCACATTTATGTGCAATCTATGATTCGAGCACTTATCGAATTTGGAAAAGGAGATCTGAATTGCCCAATCAAGAATTCTTAAACATCGTGTTTTTTTTCAACTCAACAAATCCATTAGAAGGTCGTGTCAAAATTTAAAGGGAATCCCTAATGTTCATATTAAAGTGTCCATCCTCTGCACCCTAATGTTAAATATATGTATTGAGGTCGTCTGAGATAGTAATCAGGGAATTCGGGGAACTGAATGTTTTCATTTTGCTTGTAATGTTTTAGTTACAGTTAGGTAAAATTGAGACTAGAAGCTAATGCTATTCATAGTTTGAGGAAGAGGCCAACAGTCAAATTTTGCTCTGAAGGTAAGAAATGTGGAATTCTATCAGTGAGATGTTACAACATAGATAAACTTCCTCTGCAATCTGATGGTGTCACGTTTCATTTTACATTTTCTAACCTTCGTGAATAGTGAGTACGAGATGTATTTTACATTCCCTAGATACCCATCAGACTAAGTTGAAGAAATGATATGGACTTGTCGGGAGCACCTATTCACAGGAAGTGATAAGCAGTAGTTGCTGGGCGACGGAGAGGGGGAACGACGCAATCGGGGCAACGCCGCAGCTTCTTCTACAGTTTTCTTCTCAATTGGGGAACTGGGCGGAGGACGGGGGGAGTAGTGCTGGAGTGGGTCGTGGCCGGAGATACCACTGGTGGTCGCCTAAAATTTTTTACACTGGAGTTGTTGAAGCCTTCGTCATGGAGAATTGGGTGTGGAGAGTTGGTGGAGAATTGGGGATTTAGGTTAGACTAGTTTGGGGTGTGAAGAATTTCGGGTGAGGCTGGTTTTTAGCACAATGGCCCGGGTCATTTGTTTGGGCCGAGTTTTTTAACCATTTACACTGTGACGTGGGATTTTTCAAAAAATTGTGAAAATGACTGAAGCAAAACTGCACAGGAAGGAAAACACTTTCAAAATACACTCTTCCAGAATAACACGACTCACGCGCATACATGTAACCCTAGATATGTGTTGCGCCACCGCGAGATGTTGAATGCGCTATATGTCTCTGCGCAATTGCAACCTTGCTCTCTCCTCTTCTATAGAAGAAGGGCTTCTGTGGCGGCGGCACTGAAAATGTTATCTTCAACTTCTGCACCTAACCCTAAATTCATACCCATAAACCCTACCCTGAATAAACCAACGTCAGAATCCAAATCCTCAAACCTTCGTCTATTTGCTGATCCCCAAAATGGCGTTTTTAGTTGTCGCAACTTCACTCTATCTAGATGTTCCTGTTCAGCTACAAGCACGGATCCCATACCCAGTGTTTTGAATACGGAGTGTTCGCTTGTTGTTGTGTCATTTTACAAGTTTGCGGATTTTCCAGATCATGCTGATTTGAGGAAGCCTCTGAAACAGATCTGTGAGCAGCTGGTAAATATCTTTAACTAATTTATGTTGGGTACTAGAGAGTTAAAAAAGGGCTGCGCCATATTTTAGTTTAGTTGTCTTTTTTCTTAATCTTTGCGCATACAATAACTAGTTTTAATTGTGAGATTCTGCAATGTTGCAATGCAATCTTTCAAAAATAATCCATCAACTAGTTTTGATTAAAGGAATTCTTTATTTTTATTCCAAGAGCACGACGAGAAGTCATATAATCGATGTTGGTTGTCATGCAATTCCGGGGAGGGAGGGGGTGCAGCAATTCGGAGCAAAATTTTTCAGAGCCAGTAACATAGGCACGAGTTATCAAACAAATGAAATTCAAAGTTTGATTCTAGGCATATATATATATATATAGAAGAAACTGATAGGGCCTTATACTAATATTTTTTGTCTGATGGATGTTACCTTGTGTGGTTCTGTCATTTTCTGTGTCCTTTTATCTTTACTTTCTCTCGGAATTCGGTCAAAAGCAACAAAAAAAAAAAAAGTTCTGCTGAGATAATACAGTTAATTACATGCTGCTTAGTTTCCTGTTAATCTCACTATGGCATTGGACATATTGGATAATTTCTCGTAAGCTCCGAGAAATCGTAGTTGCGCGAGTATGTTAGAAATGACTAATTACTGATAACGAGGAATTAAATCTAAAAATTTCAGGTTACTGATTGCTGATGTTAAAAGTCATGATAAATACCTGGTGGAGCTGAACTTGCAATATGAGATAAATTAGCCAATGGATTAATTGCCATCAAGCTAAACACACAGGTTGAGATGAACAAATGTTTCTGACTTGTTGGTGTGAAAAATTGTCATCTGTGATAAAATGGAAGTGATAGTAACATAGTCCTCAAGGAGGGCCAAGTAAGCTTGCAAATTCTTTATTACTAGTGTTTACGTAATCATTATTGAGCAATTTATGTTCTTTCCCTAATCTTTGCCCTCCCTGCACTCCTCCTGCCCCCAAGTACAGCGTGGTGTTGAAAATTCATTAATTAGTTTGGCTGTTGAAAGGTGGGTGAGTTTGAATAACTACATTATTTTGCCTTTTGCTTTCTATTTTTTTTTTTTAGTCTTTCTTTCAATGTGTCTTGGCACGTTTGGGTGTTAAATCATCTTTTAGCTTCCTTTGCAGCTTCATTTTTGGTTAGTTTGCGTACAATGAGTATATATTACAATGTCATTCAGTTCTCGCTAAGTTGATATTTACAGCGTGTTTCAGGGGGTATTATTCTTGCACCAGAAGGAATCAATGGAAGCATATGTGGGACCTGGGAATCTGTGGAAAAGGTTATCGCATTTATCCAAACTGATGACCGCCTAAAGGGGCTTAGACGTGTTGAGTCACCTGTTAGTCCCGAGGAAGAAGCTATTCATCATGGACATACAAGTAGTTCTCCTCTGGCTGCTGGGGAGGATGCTCCCTTCCGATGGGACCATGTGAGGGTCAAGCTAAAGAAGGAGGTAGTATTTACTGTCTTAAAACTATAAGATTACATCAATATAATTCGAGCTTAAGTTTTTCCTTCTTGGATATTGTTTAGATTTTCTTTTGTTGATTTTCAGTTATAAAAGCTTGAAACTTTATATTGTTTGCAGATAGTTACGCTTGGAATGCCTTCAGTGTCTCCAGTTGAAAAGGTTGGAAAGTATGTCAGTCCAAAGGATTGGAATACATTGATTACCGATCCAGATACTGTGAGTGGCTTTTCTCCATTGCATCTGCTGCTGTGTAGTTTATTGAACTTGGATACTTTGTGTACTTTCTCTTAATCTGTGAGATGGATTGATAAGCATTTTAAATTTCTATGAATATTGTTTCTAGTCCGAGATTGGTCTTAAAAGTAGTCACTCTAAGTCCTTGTTGGATTAGAATTTGTGTGACGTTCTTTCATAGAAGATACTGACTCCTCTTTACATCAGAAGTTTAGTGCGTATATATTCTGATATTTTCCTGGACGTCAACATTGGGCAATTTTCCATAAGGAAACATCTCTTTTCTATTATACTTAATCCATCAAGTATTTGTACTTTATTATATTCCGTTTTATAAACGTGATAAGGTTTTTAATAGTTATTCTTTGGCTTTCAAATTTTATCTTTGACCTAATTTTGAAAAGAATTAGGTGGTGATTGACGTGCGCAACGACTATGAAACTAGAATTGGGAAGTTCAAAGGGGCAGTTGATCCTTGTACTACAGCATTCAGAGAATTTCCGCTTTGGGTGGAGGAACAGTCCAAGTTGGTTGAATCAAAGGATATGGTGGAGTCTTCATGTTCAATTGAAACCACAGAAAAGAAAGTTGAGGAAAAGGAAAAGAAAATGCCACCCCGAGTGGCAATGTATTGTACTGGTGGAATTCGGTGTGAAAAAGCTACGAGTTTTCTTCTAAGCAAAGGCGTTAAAGAGGTGAAAATTGTTCTTGTATCATCATTCTGAGTTTCACAAGAGATAAAAAATTTTGTTGTTGTCCATCGTATGGCACTAATGTACTTCAGTTATATTCCATACAGTTTTTAGTAAACATCATTTAAAGTAGGCATCATAGTGTTTCCTGCACACTCAGACGTGTGTGGATATTTGTTTGGTTGCCTGATGTATCGGCTTCACTGGTGCTCGAAATGGATCTACATTCAAAATTCTTGAATTATGTCACGAACCTCTATCGATACTAAGATAATTTGGACCTGTAGTTACTGAAATGATCTCATTCTTGTAGTACTCACCTGATTTTGTTACCAGGTTTATCATCTCCAAGGTGGAATTTTGAAATATCTCGAGGAAGTACCTAGAGAAGAGAGCCTTTGGGTGGGGGAGTGCTTCGTGTTTGATAAGCGAGTCTCGGTTGAACATGGGCTGGCCCAAGGAACTTATAAACTTTGCTATGGATGCAAGCAACCAGTAAGTGATGCTGACATGAAAGCTCCAGAATGGGAATATGGAGTTTCCTGCCCGTACTGCTACGCATCAAAATCAGAAGAAGAGAAAGAGCGGGCAAGAGCTCGACAAAGGCAGTTTGAGACATGGGGTATAATTGGTGGTCCAGACAAAGGCTGCAAACCCGTAAGAATAGTTGAAGAGAGAGGTGCTAAGGAGGTGCCAAGTTCAATTTAGATATTTCAGCTAGTGGCATGTTTACGAGATGTTACCGTTGACAGAGAACTGAGGTGTTGACCAATGACAATTTTCAGAAAATTGATCCCTAGAAGTTGTGTAATTCAAATTCGTTTTGGGCTGGATCATATGTCAAAATTCCTTCTTGATTTTGGTTACTTGAGAGTTTGGTAGCTGTAGAAGTGCATCCCTCCATTTATGTGTATTTTCTGTTTGCCTGCACATGAGCACAAGGCTTATTTATTGTAGGAGAAGCTATTTTAAGTCTTCAAATTTGAGGTATTGTATTGACATAGTTATTTATTTATTTGTTTTTCTTCATGTTATCTTTGCTCATTTTTTTCCTAGTATTTATATAAATTTACTTTGCTATGATACTTTGTGAAGTTGCATAAAGGGTCTGTGAGCATGTTTGGCTAAGATGAGAATGATCAAACATTGGTTAGATGAAATTATTGACAAGTACTCAAAATTTAGATGACGTCACATCACCGACCTATTATTATAATATCTATATATTGGGTCTCTGCAGCCGATTGACTCAATCCTCTTGTAGTTGCTCATTCAAGTTGCTAATGCCACGTGCTTGGGCGCATTACTGCCGATGTCTCATTTGCAGCAGTTGAGGTCCCTTTAGCCCATGCAATCAAAGGTGTCCTTCAACCTATTTTAGATGGTTGATGCAGGAAAGAAATTATGCTTTACTGTATAGATTGCACTGTTCTTTAGCAGTGTATTTCATTCTCTTTGTTTCACTTTGAATCTATTCAGTAAGAATCTATACTGGTGGATGTTATCTTCTAATTTTTTTTTTGCACTTGCTTGTTCTCCACATTCTTAACAGCAAAGACTTATGTTTCAGGTTGGGAAACTCCTCCAGCAGCTGACAAAACATAAAAGCCATAAGATTTAAGGCTTCGGTTTCTGATGTGGTTGGCGTGTGGAAGAAAATGACTAAAGGAAAGAATGAAAAAATCAAGAATGGAAGTGTTGATAACGAGGATTCTGTGAAAGCTGAGCCAAAGGTGCTGAAAGTGACAGGAGCAGGAAGTTTTCAGGGGTCAAGCTTTGTGAAGGTTGACAGGGGCCCTCTACAGACAACGGGAATGGGAAGTTGAAGAGGAGTAATCCGACTGGCACACCAAATTCTGAGAAGTTTAATTCAGGAACTTCCTCGAATGGGAGAAAATTGAGAGGGTTGATGTCTGACATCAAAGAACGCTGCTGGAGAATGTGTGCAGAATGAGAAAAGAAATAAAAAAAAAAGCCGCGTTCTGATAGGCAAAAACTGGAATCAGACCTCATTGGTCCTCCTCGAGAATGAGAAGTTAAGTCAGGAACTTCCTCGAATGGGAGAAAATCAAGAGGGTTGATGTCTGACATCAAAGAACGCTGCTGGAGAATATGTGCAGAATGAGAACAGAATTTAAAAAAAGAATGGAAAAGACGCGTTCTGATAGGTGAAAACTTGCATCAGACCCCGTTGGTCCTCCATGAGAATTTTTATAGAAAAGTGATGGTGGAAAGTGATATTTTCATTGACAACATTGTGTTACAATTTATACATGTGAATTGCCTTCTAATTACAATAAAATGCATTATTATAGGAGCTATCAAGGTCTGTTAATGCTACTATAATGCAGTCATTGATGCATGTAATTTGGCTTGAAGGCTCCACCATTTCTCGTATAATATTCTCCACGTGAATACCCATTAACGTCTTGGTTGTTTCCTAATGCAACTGACCATGATTTTTGGGATTTGAATTTGCTTCCTTGACACTCCAAAGCTGACCTCTCTAGTTTATTGCAAGGACTGGTGAGGGACAAAATCCAGTAACTTCTTGCAGATCATTGTGCGAAGTCTCAAGTGAGGTCGATGGTGATTGAAGAGATCAAGTGAGCGCATCTAATTCTTTTCAAGTAGCTCTTTTAGTGGAGACCGCAATGTTTGAAAAGTGGTGTAAATCCACTGGTGCTCAGAAGAAATATAAAATCGACAATGCAAAATCCAGATTTTGGAGAAAAGTCCTTGGGTAGTTTGAGCCACGTGCAATTCTTGAACTGACACCAGAAGAAATGGCCAGTGATTCGAGGCAAATGCAGAATGAGAAAATCAAGCAAAAAGCACTGTATGAATGTGAGCGTGGAGACGCTACACAGTTCAGTACTGGCCAATTCAGCTGTGGTAGGTGAAAGAACGAAGGAAACTATGCACTACCTGATGCGGAGTTGAGTTTGTGACCACAATTATGCTACAGTGACATAAAGGTTAATACAATGCCACATGTCATTCTATCATTGGATTGTATAAAACACAATCAACTTTTCCATCCAATCATATGTTGTCACATACACTTCTATCATAGTTTAAAAACCTTTTGGCAAAGTCGCATAATTCTTGTGACCATTGTTGGTTGTATAAGCATTCAGCATATTGTGATCATTGATGATTTAGTTGCTGTACAAAAATCGCATTGAATTCCATCTAGCCGAGGTCCCTTATGAGGATACGTTTTATTTTCCTCCACGATGGAAACATTCTCATGAAACCTCTTATGTCCTTGGGATTATAGTCGAGGATAGTCTACAACCCTTAGCTATTCGTTGGATTCTTGAAGCAACTTTCAAACAGTGCATATTGTATAGGATAAGCTCAGAGAAATGTTCATTTGTTGAGATACTAGATGCTTGACGAAAGAGCAGAATTGCACGCTAGAAAAGAAAGAATCTTCATGGATTGACTTCCACTCATTAAAATTTTGCGCATTTCAAAAGGTGGTAAAGTGAGACTATATAAAGAGGCAAAGAGCTCATGTTGATGGATTCAACGAATAATATTTTTATGTTGTCATCTCTTAAAGTTCACTTTGGTAAACTTTTCGAGCATTTTTCTGCAAACATTATTGATTCAAGGTACCACAGATGTAGATGAAGAAGAACCCAACCACAGATGTAGATGAAGAACCCATATCAAACAATCTATCACAAACTGACTACTTTCATATCGAAAATTTGGCAGAATTTAGAAACCAATAGTTAATTATAAGTAAATATTGGACTAATAAGAATAAATAAAAGTATAATATTATATTATATATAAAATTTGCTTAAGGTTGTTATTAAAACTGTGTTATATAATCAATTTTTTTTTGTCCAGTTGATCTAAAAATAAAAAATAAAAAAAATGTCATATATATAGTCCCATTTGGTCAGGAATAAAATTAAATTTTTAGTATATTTTAATAAAAAAATGAATAAATGTGTGGATGAAATGTTGTGGGTCTCATAAAACGTGTGATTAAAATATAATATATTTTTTATTTTTTAATCTTTAGTTAGTAAGCCCTTGTTTGGTAGATATTAAAATTGAATTTTTATTAAATTTTGATAAAAATTGAAGAAATGTGTAGTTGAAAATTTATGGGTCTCATAAAATGTTTGGTTAAAATTAATTGTTAATTTTGACTTGAAATTTTGATTGGATTTTAATTCAAATCAAACAAGGGCTGAATATTATTACTTTTTTTTTTTTTCCAATTTGTTAAGAACAACTTATGTTTTCTTTAAAAATGATAAATATTTTATTTTTATTTGATAAAAAACTTAAATTTAAAATTAATTTTAAACGAGATAGGTAGCGGGGCAGCAATGACCCCCAGCCCCGTTTACCCGGTTACGCAGGTGATCCCAGCCCATCAAATTGAACGATTTTTTTTTGTAATCTCCAGATTTGTTTTGCATGACTTTTGTTTTTACTTCTTTTTTGAAAGTTTTTAGAGGAAGTTAACTTCATTTTTGTTTAAAAATTAATTTTTAAAAGCAATTCCTATTTCAAAAGTGGAAGTTACAATGAACCACTTCTTTTAAATAATCTTCTAATTATCGAAAACACTTTTATAAAATTAGTCAAACATGTCCAAAATCTATTTTAAGTCTCAAAAGCTTCTTTTGATTTTTAAAAAAAACCATGTCAAATGAGCCATTTGACATTTTCTATATTGCCCTGCACCAGTATCGTAATTAAGGATGTGTTTGAGCCACATTATTTTGGAAGAATGTATTTTGGAATAGTAGATTGATGGAGAATGTGTGGTTGAAAAAGAAGGAAAATTTATTGATGTGATAAAAATATTATTTTATTGAAAAATATGTAATTAAAAATGAATAGAAAAATGAAAATAAAAATGAAAATTTAATGTGACTCAAACGTGGATTAAAATTGCATTAACAAGTTTTTGTCAAACAGCGCCTTATCGCAAATCCTCGCAGAATTAAGATATTCTGTAGTCGCATATCGACCATAGGATCAAGTTAGACTATAAGTTACACGTGCTGCGTTAGCCCCTATTATCTCCTTCAAACGTCAAAACCAAGTTGGTAGCCGCTAGGGTTTCAGATTGCATTGTAAGCCGAGCTTAACCGATCTCTTCCTGCATTCGGTCATCTGATTCTGTAAGGTTAATTCCGTATGCTTTTTGTTATTTTCAATTTACGTGTGCTTTGGAGGAAAAATCGTCTTTTTTGTTGTAGAGGCTGATTTTCTTTAATGTTTTTGTCCCTGTGTTAATTCTAATCCTTTTTTTTTCGATCTTGATGTATGAATTGTCTCTCTAATCCGTAAAGAATGCATTTTTTGAAGGGAGGGGGAAGCGGAAAGGGTTCGATGATGGATTTTTTAACGTTTAATTATGTATATTAGTATTTAAAGCTTCACTTTTACGTTCCCAATTTAGTTTCCAGTCTCTGGAAATATTTTTATCTGTGATTCATAGAACGGATCTATATTTTTGGTGTAAGGTTTTAATTTAATTTGGCTTCATTCTTTCTTAGATCTGAAGCTCCAATTCCATGTACCATTGTTACTTTCTTTCTGCAAAAATGAAGTAACGACTTTTCTTATTTTGATATTTCAAGGCTCAAGTTATCCATGATTGTGCTGTTTAAAAAAGCTTTTTCTATAATTGGTGGTGATAAATTTGCTGTCCTTTGACTAGAGATTTTCTCTTTTGCTTAGTTTGAGAAACTGATTTGATCATGTCTCTGGTTCCTTTTTTTTTTTGGCATCTGATAGATTGCGTGTAATGGAGAAGGAGCTAACTGTGCTTTTTGAGGCAGTGAAGAAGGCTGCAGATGCCGCTGAGAAATCACCTGGGGAGGAGGAACGGTGCCTTGATGCATTAAAACAGCTCAACAAGTTCCCCGTCAATTATCAGCTCCTTGTATCCACGCAGGTAATATCATGTTTCTGCTTATTTCTGGTTTATTACCTTCTCTACCTTTCATATTATTTTAACACAGTTGATTTACTACATAACATTCTATTTTATAACCAGTAACCAATTTTTGATTATAAGAGTCGTCTTATTGGGAAAAGGGTGTCATTTGGAGAATTTATATCAAATATTAAATTTGGATAATTAATTAATATTGTCCTTAGATGTCAATTCAGAACAATGACTTAAAAAAATTTACCACCAGGCAGTGCTATTTTGGGGCCATTATTGGCATAGCTGACAAGATATGAATGCTAGAAAGTAGAAACTGTTGTGATATTAAAAATTACAAGAGTTAGACTTTACATCCTGTAACTAAATCAATTTGTTTAGCTGTGTTGAACATTCAACTGCTCCGAAAGGCACGCCCGCCTCCAAATCAACCTCTATTGGCAAAATTTGTGTCAAACATTAGAGTTGGCTGTCTTTGTCTGCGCGAGTTAATTCATAAGATATTGATTATCTTGTTTCTGGCCCCGTCTTTGGTAGGACAGTGTTGTGCTCGGTCATTTCTGCTGTAACCATATTTTCTAGTATCAACTCTCTTGCTTTTTATTAACCAAAGAGATTTCCTCCTCCTGATGTATAAATTTTACCTTTCCCCTCGATGAGTCAGATTCCATAATTGAATGACGTTGAAGTGTCAAAAGAGGAGGAAAAAAGAGAGAGACAACAAAGAAATGTCAAAAAGGGGTTGGTGATATTGAAATTACACCTATTTCTTCTTCAAAGCTGATGGCCTGGTCCAGTGTTGAAAAGTAAACTTAGATTAATATTTTTTCAGACAATTCAAATCTGCTCCGTCCTCCACGCTTAAATCTGCCTTGAGAAGCAATTCCAGTTGACATATCCTTACATCCATGCAAATGTCTTTCATATTAATTGGAACTTGGAAGTTCTGATCCTCGTATTGTGGGTTTATAAGTGCAATACCAGTAAATGCACACTAATGATTTGATGAAGTGCTTATAGAAATGTTGTCACTTCTAATTACCTCTAAATGAGATTCCGTGTTTTAGTTGGTTTTTAAAGCCTGAACACTTGTAGCACCTGTTTGACCCCCATTTTTTTAAAAACTCATTTTCAACCACGCATTCTCCCCGATAAATGATTTTACACGTAAAATCAGAACTTTTCCTTACTTTTTCACCACACGTTCTCAAAAAAATCACTGTTACAAAATATATTCTCCCAAAACAATGGTGCTCAAACAATCCCGCAATTCTCTAAAACTGAAGCATGTACCAGTTGAGTTGGTTAACTGTTGCAACATTTTTTATCAGACTTGTGCTCGGATATAGTTCTTGCATTCAGGCTCATGTTGCATGTTGGATTTGAGTAGATTCGCATAAATAAAATTAAGAGCCTAACAAAGGAGAGAGGATATAGAGGTGGAGTGTGGTGGTGTCAGGTTTGGTTGAAGACTTGGTAGGTGGCAGTTTTAAAAAGAGGCTGTGGTTACTTGATGTGAATACAGGGCTAAGTTAGTGAACACTGGAATTCTACTGGAGGAATGATGGGATTTCTATGGTATAGACGAAAATAGTTCTTCGGTTTTTTTCTGTTTACTTGTGAAATTTATCTTTTCCCAGTGAATATATAGTTCCATGGTATAGCTGAAAATAGTTCTAAGTGCAAAGCACAACCAGTCCTGCCATATTAGTTGATGGGTTCCCTTTCATCCGATCCAGTGATTTTTGTTCTGGTTTGTCATGTGGTGTTGGTATTATGTTTGCTGAAATACTCATAAAATCTTAATCTTAAATTACTTGTGTACTTATTTTCTCCAATTATCGGTGAATATAATGATGTTAGCTATACTTTATAAAATTTTAATTTCTTTTCACTGTGCACCTAAACTTCGAGGGGTCTTTGGTGGCTCGGTGCATAATGTACACTTGATAACATTTCATCCTGAATCAATAATCATTGTAACACAGTTTGATGGCAAACAAGGTCTTAAACTTGAAATCAATTCTTATTTGGCATCCTTCTATTAGGGTCCGTTTGATTGGTTTAAATTCCATGGAAAATGTCAAATCCGAGGAATTCAATTTCTACTTTGGCTATTTGATACGAAAGTGGAAATGGAGTTCGAATTTCAAGGTACAACCACTTTAACCTTGTTTTGTGCCAATTTCATGGAAAATGCATTCCTATGAATACTTTGGTTTTTATTTTCCAACTTACATGGAATTGAAAAGTTTTTCCACCTTTGCCAATCAAACGGACCCTTACAGTCTTTTGTTTTCTGACTTATGGGCCTACATCTAAAGAAGAATGCATCTGTTCTACCTAGTTCAAGAAATAATCAGTGCATGAGGTTGATATTTTTTAATCTTTAAATGTGGTCCAGATAACTGAAAACACAAGACGCTACACACCATTTTCACGGGTGTGCACGTGTCTTTAGTTGTTTTGGATTCATAGTTTCCAGGCAGGCTTTTTCCCAGTACAGATATGCTGGTGCTGTGAAGTTTTCTTGTTTTTTTGTTTCCCTTGCTTGTTCTCCACATTCTTAACGGCAAAGACTTCTGTTTTAGGTTGGGAAACGCCTCCGGCAACTGACAAAACATAAAAGCAATAAGATTAAGGCTTTGGCTTCTGATGTGGTTGATGTGTGGAAGGACATCATTGTCAAGGAAACAACGAAAAACAACGAGAACGGAATCGTTAATAACAAGGATTCTGTGAAAGCTGAGCCAAAGGGTGCTGAAACTGATGGGAGCAAGAAGTTTCAGAGGTCAAGCTCCGTGAAGGTTGAGCAGGGGCCATCAACAGACAATGGGAATGGGAAGTTGAAGAGAAGTAATACGACAACTGGCACACCAAATTCTGAGAAATTAATGAAGTTGGGAACTTCCTCAAATGGGAAAAATGTTGAGAGGGATGATGTCCAGACGTCAAAGAATGCTGCTGGACAATTCGTACAGAACGAAAAAAGAATTAAAGAAGAAAAGCCGAGTTCTGATAGGCAAAAACTGGCATCAGACCCTGTTGGTCCTCCAAAGCTCACTTCTCTAGTTTATTGCAAGGATTCGGTGAGGGACAAAATCCGGGAACTTCTTGCTGAGGCTTTGTGCAAAGTCTCGAGCGAGGTTGATGATGATCTCAGAGATCAAGTGAGTGCATCTGATCCTTATCGAGTGGCTGTTTTAGTGGAGACTGCGATGTTTGAAAAGTGGGGTAAATCCACTGGTTCTCAGAAGATGAAATATAGATCGATAATGTTCAATATTAAGGACGCAAAAAATCCAGATTTTCGGAGAAAAGTTCTCCTCGGGCAGTTTGAGCCACGTGCCATTCTTGAACTGACACCAGAAGAAATGGCCAGTGATTCGAGGCAAATGCAGAATGAGAAAATCAAACAAAAAGCACTGTTTGAATGCGAGCGTGGAACCACTCAACAGGCAAGTACTGACCAATTCACCTGTGGTAGGTGCAAGAAGAAGGAAACTACGTACTACCAGATGCAGACTCGAAGTGCAGATGAACCCATGACTACATATGTGACATGCGTAAACTGCAATAACCGCTGGAAATTCTGTTGAATTTGGATTTTTCAAATTTATCAGCGTTAGATGACTTAGCTTGGTAGGTACTTGTTTTACTATGATTTTGGCCTTTATTAGTTCGTTCTTTATTAGGTGTATTTTCCGTACGCCTGCACATGAGCATAAGGCTAATTTGTTGTAGAAGAATCTATTACAAGGACTTAATATTTGAGATATTGTTGTCATGGTATGTTTTTCATGTTAGCTTTAGTCATTTAGTTCCTAATACCAAAACGGAGGAGCCACCCCACCAAGCAGGCGGCCTTGTAATGCACTCTTCTCAACTTTGAAGTTGACTTGTTTGCTCGGCCAATTATTGGAGTGTGTACGATATACCGTTAAGGGCCAATATTTGAATAGCACTTTTATCAAAAGCTTCAAATGAGACTTTGTATTCGAAACGCACGAACCATGTGACTAAAATGTTATTCAAAATTTGATCGAAAATTTAACTTGATCCACCATGAAATTTTATCATACGCAAAAGAAGCACATGAAGTACTAAACGGAATAGGTATGTTTAGTAATGGTTGGGGAAACAAACTCGAATTAGGCTAGAATCTTGCTTATCGAAGGAGAGGAAGAGATGAAAGTTTTGAAGACATTCCATTTATAAGGCATTACCAGATTCTTCCTTCGGTTTTTATCTTTTTTCATATATATATAGATAGATTGTTTATTTTAAAAAGCAAAAACTTGGGTAACATCTTTGAGCTTGTTTGGCTAAGATGTGAATAACCAAACATAAGAAATTTTAACGATGTCACATATCACACTTTTTATTATCAACTATGTAGTATAGTCTTTTTCGAGCAATAGACGTAGGTTCGAAAGAGGATCTTGTCTTTATTTTGAAGTGAAGAAACTTAAATTTGAAGATTATCTATTTAAATCACACTTTTATTTATTTAAAAAGGTTGTGATTTTTTAAGTCAAGATTTAGATTTGAGAATTATGTGGTCTAATAGTCATTACAATTTCAATGAAATAATTGTCACTTCTTATTTGAAAAGTTGCAAATCTAGTGAAAGGTTATGCCTAAATCGAGTGTTGAGTAAACCACGGCTTGTATTTAAGCAAAGTATAATTCAAAATTCTAAGGATATATTTCCACATTATTCTTAAAACTCCAATATCGCAAACATCTTGTGTCCACAAGGAGTAAAAGCAAAAAAGCAAAAATAAGTAATTATAAATAAGCCAATCAAAATGAAGAATCATCAGTGCTTTCTTTTAGAGCCTTGAAAACTCTGGAACTTCTGTCAAAGATTTGGGCCCTCCTATTGTAATCAGCAGCCTCTTTTCCTTCATCTTCCCCCATGATTGCCTCTCCTTCTAAGCACTCCATAAGCTCAACCACCCCACCACTCTCTCTGCAACAATTCTCTTTCCAATTCCCTACAATATCTTCTTCCATATTCATCTCCTTCTGCAATTTCCTCTCCAGTTCCCAACCTGCAGTACCCCCCTTACTACACTTGACACTCCCAAAGAATTTACGGTTTATGGGTATGGCAACTCTATGCTCGCGATGAATGGAAGAATAATTACTTATTTTTGGTTTAAGTAAAATAGGTGTTTTGACATAACTAGAAAGAGCTCTCTCCATACTTCAATATAATGTTGTGGAAGTTGGAATATACTTCGATGGGTTTATATAGAGTTGCGTTGTGGGTTGGGTTCCCCCGGGGGCGGGGGGTGGGGGTGACGAAATGGGCTTGTGCCACGTGTCGATGGACAAGTTGAAGACGAGACGTGATATTTAAGAAGACACGCGTGAGACAAAGGATGGGCATGCTTCAAGATTCCTTGTACATGTCTATAATTTTCCCAATAATGTTACGTATAAGCTGAGCTCACGTGTTTGGAAATTGGAACTATTGTTATTAATATTCTTCGTTGTTTACGGCAGTCGGCAAGGAAAGAAAAAGTTCACATGAGAGATTCATCGACTCAGCACAATCTGACGTCGACGTGTTTTTATTCACACATTTTTTGAAATACACAATTTTTTTCAATTTTTTAATTATACATTTTATTAACTTTCTTTATTAAAAAAAAAACGGGGGATTAGTATGCCAGAAAAAAAGTCCGGTGTTGACTCTTCTATGTGATATTCATTCTCTTCGACTCTTTAAATCATGTAAATTATTTGTTCGAACAGGCAACTCACAAAATCTAATTAGTAATTCGCCTACTCCATTGCCTTCAATTCTTTTATCATTTCTTGTACATCTCTTGACACGTAACTTACATACTCAGTTTAATATTCTTATAGATGAATCGAATGAATAGAGATTTCAGAGAAGGATTGACCATTCAATCTCATAATCCAATGAAGACCGAAATTCGAAAAAGAGATTTGAATGGAGAGGCAAGTTACTTATCTTTAAAAACGTTGACAAGTATTTCATCCTAAGTGCATAATTACTTAAAAGCTAATTTTAAAAGGATAAATTGCAGCGAATGTCCCCAACCTTTACTCACTTTTGCACTTATGCCCCCCCATCTTTTTTTGGACAATTAGATCCCCAACCTTTGATAATTGGCAACGTACTTCTAAATAAATGGATGACATCCAATTCTCCGTTAGTCAACCCCTTTGACCATTAAAAAAAAAGGAATAAAACGATGATTCATTATTTTTAATTAAAATATAAAATAAATAAAATATTCATAAACATGGAAAGAAAACAAAAATAAAAGTTGCCAATAATGGCAGAAAATGAGGAAGAAAACGCAGAACGGGGGAATTTCTCGCCAAAAGGCCCTCCTTGTACCGTAAAAAATGGTGTAAAGAAGATGAATAATGATATTTTTATATAATTATTTTGGAATTCTTTTCCCTTTTATGAATATTTTATTTTGTAATAGTTTGATTAAATTAATAAATTGTCGCTTTACTATTTTTTAATTAAAGTGACAAAGGTATGGAGTTGGTGAAAATCTATCTATTCGGATGCTTGCAGATAATTTATCGAAGGTTGGGAATTCAGTTGTCTAGAAAAAGGTTGGAGACGAAAGTGTAAAAGTTAAGAACGTTTGCTACAATTTGCCCATACTCGTATTCTTGACTAGGTCAAGATGTCAAGTCTTTTGCATTCAACAAAGATAGTCGAGCACTAACACGAGTATGCAACATATAGTTCTCTTCAATTTAAAGCGTGACGGGATACCAACTTAGATAGCTTTCTTATCTTAAATTCAAAAACGTGACGAGCAATGTATTCATAGTATAATAACTATAGCTCAACAAACGAAGTATGACACAGGCCATGCCGTGCCCGTTACAAGGACCACTTAAAAATTGAGATGTAATGGGCCAACACAACTCGGTACAGCACAAACGAAGATATCTGGGAATCATAAAGCGTAACTTCATGCACAAAGGCATCGGCGTTCAGAGTTTCAGAAATCTTAGAAAGATAACAACATGCCTGCACATCAAATACATCTTCTTTCGAAGATAAAGGAAACCTAACCTTTCATTGTAATGAACAACAAAAAAATGAGAAACTCCTATTGGGAAATTACAGTGAATCAGTTTCTTCAGGGTGCTCACTTTCTGCCTTTTGAAGTTCCCTTCAGCATTCCAGCCAGTCATGTTCTTCATCCCAATAATTGCATGTCAAACTGCAGATAATTAAGAGCAATGTTAACTGCATCATATTCAACGGCATCTGGCTTCTCCAGTAAAATTTAAACTACTTTAACCCCTATCACGTAGGAACAACTGTTACCCCATGCTTAAAAAACGTCTTAACTAGACATACGCAACACAGTTTTCTTGACTACAATTACAACCTCTGATGACTTGCACAAGGACATTCAAAAAGCAAGACAAATCAATGAGCCAATCACTCATATACAGACAAAGTTGCTTGTGTAAAGGAATACAGGAGCAGCCAGTACAGAGGAAAACCTGGCCTTTCTTCTTCATAACTTCAACAACTACCAAGCTCTTCCTCTCCGAATCTTGTATTGAAAATATTAAATAAAATATTCTTCTTCTAAATCTCGCCAGAAGTTCTCAAGTGTAACACCACCTGCTGACATCACGTATTCTCTCATATTTGATCTAAGGGAGCACCCATAAACACGAGGATTCCAACAGATTATTTAGTTTCCTTACGGCCATTCTATAAACCTTATTGGGATTAATTACGAATCTTGAACGAACATACAAGCCCTTAAAAAGGAGAAAGGAAGCAACTATAATATTTAAGAAAATATTATGGGAAATGATAAAATTGGATACTCTACCAATACTGCTATGTGAGTTCCACGAAATCTTATCAGAGGAAAGTTAGATATGATTCCACGTTAAACCTAGTAGTCAGCAGACCTGTCTAGTCTATTAGAACTGAACAACTTCAGAATGGCAGATAGTATACACAGGTGAAAGAACCAGGATAAATGCAAAATAAGGAATACTCGAATCATAATTTTTAGCAGCTTACAATCAGTTTCCTGGGGTCCTAAAAAGGTAATATGATTCTATAGAAATTCTTCACAATATCAAAGGAGCTTGGAATATCCAACAAGACATCACCATAGTCATAAATCTGCATCCTCATGCAGTCAATAATAGCAAATTATCTATGATTTGGATAATTCCCAAAAATAGTCTGCTTAAATTGAGATAGATGTAAATTGGTCGAGGAGTCAATTGATCATAATTCAATCATCAGTATATCACCATTCAACCATTAAAAGTTATTCAGAATTCAGAGAAGCCTGTTTCAAAATAAATGTGAATTCTAATTTCTGATTCAATAACTTAATTGCTAATATACTCCTCAATAAATTGGCTAACGCAACACTAATTGCTTCGCATGTAATACACTAAACAATTAAATGAATTATATAGAGCAGAATCACATAGAAATTTTAAAGAACTCACAGCAAACGTGGTGAAAGAGCAAGAATGCTTACCACGATCCCACCTGCACCCAGCAACATCAAATAATTTTTCTTCCAAAAGGCCTCTTTGTACCACAAAAAAGTGTCCTTAATCGCCACTGCTAGATTTTTCGCCGCATCTTTTACTAAATTCTCGGAACCCATTTCAATCTTTAAAGAAAAGTATCTGAACCCAGTAAAATTTATGTTCGGCAAAGATTCGGCATTTGGGTACAGTTTGTCAAAAATTCTCGCAACACTGGGCGATGATGAGAATTTGGGTCTCGCAGAAATTATCAGCCACGTACGAAACGTGGGAATTTGGACGATGCTTGGGTTGTTTGGCGAGGGTTTTAATGAAGTGAGATGGAAATACCTGAAAATTATTCTCGATGACGAGGGTATTGACATTTTCTTCTTTCCTTCTGGGTTTTCGTATAGATGGATATGGATTTAGATTCACGAAATCACAAACTCGAAGTACAATTGATTGCCTCGTCTGAAGAAAATCAATCAACCCGTTTCTTCAAGATGCCTCTGTGACTACTATATAGAGTAGCAAGCGAGTTGGGTGACTCATTGCTCAGGGGTGACCCGTCACTCAGTTGTTCACTATTAGAGTATTACTCCAAAAAAAAAAAAAAAAACACAAAAAGAAAGAAAGAAAGAATAATGTTACTCATAACTAGAACGAGTCCTACGTTATATATACGTGACATGTTGTTATTTAATATATGCAACAATAAAAAAATTATCACATTAATGTGTCAATAACAAACTGTCATATGTACGTCATGTAGAGCGACTACGGATAGTCCTCAACATGAATAACATTACTCTAAAAGAATACAAGTAGAAATTACACATTTCCCTACTTTTAGAGATCCAAATTCTAAAATCAAATTTCGTGTTTTAATTTTCAAAAATCGGATATTTTAGATATATATATACAGATTTTTTATATTTAATTAAAAATTAATAATAATAATAATATAAAAATTAATTTATATACACCCACCCCACCCCTAACATTATCAAACCCTAACTCATTCGTCTCTCTCATCCCCGTTTCTCTCAAACCCAATTTGAAACCGTTGTCACTGCCGTTGTGCCGGCTGCAACAACCCAATCAACGGATCTCTACTTTTTCGAAGGCGATTTGCAGTTTGCACTCGACGGGTTGCTGCGATTTGAGATTTGCACTCGACAGTTGCTGTTGCGATTTGCACTCGACGGGGCCGCTGCTGTTTGCGATGACGATTTGCAATCATCTCCTCTCCCCGACAATCTCCTCTCCATTCCATCCTACCACCGTCATCTCCTCTCTTCTCCCCGGTTTGGCGTCGCACCTATCCCTCATCCGATTCCTAAATCCACCCTTATTCGACGACGGCAAACGGTAGTAGCACAGCTATTTGCAGCGGTGCCCCACTGCAAGAGCGCATTGTGACGTGGTGTAGCGTCGCCTCTGTTTTTTTTTTTATTTGATATACGGTGGGTTGGTTTTTTGGTTGGTGATTTCTAACTAGATCTACTATTAATGGCTTGTCAGTTGTTGTGGTGGTAGTAGTATGCGAAGTGTTGGTGGTGGTGTGTAGTTTGCGGTAGCGGAGGGGTGCTAATGTTCGTTATTTTTAAATACTGTTAGTTGCGGCCAATAAAATTTGTGACTATAACTGGCGATGGTCGACGATGGAGGTAGTGGTG